CTCAATCTCTCAGCATTGTGAAAGACAGGAAAAGACTTTTTTTTTCTTTTTTTTTTTTTTTCTTTTTCCCTGCTGTGCACTAAATTCCCTTTAAAGTCAGGATTGGGAGGAAAGGAGGCTTGGAGAATTCTATCTGCCCCTTAGCTTTTAACTGCAGCCCCTGCTCGTGTCAGGGGACCTGACTGGAAGCACAAGCTCCTACCAGAAGAGTGGGACCCCCCCTCCCCAGGGCAATTGCCCTCAATTGCTGATGCCACTCAAAAAACACAGGCATGATGGTGGTGATGATGGATCCCCAAATGAAGCGCAGTTCAACCGAAGTGGGAGGATTTAGCAAAATGCATAAATTTCTTTTTTTCTTTCTTTTTTTTTTTTTTTCCTGCATGCTACTGTCTGTAACACGCAGATCCTCAGCCAGTTTAGTGAGCATAAGTTACAGCTGGCTTTTGCTGGAATAGTTTATGCTCTTGACCCTCCTCAGTTGTATAGCCAATGGGGAGCTGTCAGGCTACATGTGTTTTTAAACTTCTTTCAGCTAAATCAGAAATCCAAAAGCAAAATACAGCTCTCAGCAGTATCATGTGGAGCTATGACACTCCCTGGAGGGCTCGGGGTCCATAAACCAATGAATGGATTACAATGAGGCATAAATGTAGTATTTTCATCCATGACAGATATAATCTTGAGCCTGTATTTTTCGTGTTACTTAACTCTTTCAGAACATAATGTATGACAGAAAATGCCTTATAGTGCACATTGCAGTAAATAACAGCCAAGTATGCTTTATTGCTGAGCTCTATATGTTTCCAGAAGTTAACAGGCACAGCTGGGACATGAGAAATGGCCAAGTTGTGTATATTTCTTGAACATACAAAATACCTTGGCTCTCCTCTCCCGCCCCCTCCACGCTCCATCCCAGCTGCTCCGGTCGTGTCACAGCGCGCATGAGTTCTCCTGTCGCCAGCTAGCCCTGCAATGACAACCTTTGCTCAGGCCTTGGTTCTGCCCAAAATAAACTGCATTATCCACGTTGTCATCACGTTCAAATTGGACTATAACAGTACATATTGCAGGCACAAATCTGCAGAAGTGGTAACTGGTAGGAAGTAGCAAACCRCGCATTAGGAGCTAGGCCTAGCAGAAAAGGCTTGCTGTGGGTTTTCTGAAGTCTCCTGATTTGCACACAAACAACGCAAAAAGCTCTACCTGAAATTCCCATTTCTCAGTCAGTATCATATAACCTCAGTGCTGGTTATGCACGAATTGTAGGTTTTACATTTCTGAGGACATATAGCTGTTTAAATGATAACAGCCAGGGTTGATGGTGGAAGAGCCACTCAGCCTTTAAAAGCTGCTGGTACTTCTGAAAGACACCCAAAACACACGTACTTGATAAAGTAGCAATGAACTGTATAAATTCATTTCTTGCAGAGGAGTTTAGGACCGGTCAGAATGGACTAACCTGTATATGTGATAAGTAACCTATATATGTGATAAGTAGTGACTGCAGTAAAGGGAGCAAATGAGAGTGATGATAGGCATTCAGAAAGCAAACGAGAAACAAAACCCATAAATATTCAAAAAGCTAGATACTAATATGTCTCTATATATAATACTTATATGTCAAAATATATTTTTTTYCTAATGTTTGGTGATTTTAGCTATTAAACTATTCTGCATAAGGGAAGACAATTGAGCATGAAGCAAGATAATGCTTTTTTTTTTATTTTATTTTCAAGCTGCCATTGCATTTAAACTACTGAGCTAACATGTGTACTTGAGGTCTGTATATGCTACAGTTTTCTTTTTCTTTTTCATCCTATATCATAAACCTTGTTGATTTAAAAAGTGAACAAAGATGAATCAGGTGGTAAATATATTCATGTAATCATTTTCATTAATAAGACRTTATAAATAATAGAGGGGAGGTTTTAAGTGTATAATTTTCTGTAACACAATTGAGATTTTTCCACATCTTCAGCAGTAAGTTAATTAAAATCACCTGCATTTTCTTGGGCGGACACCAAATGGATTGCAAACAAAAACAGATTAAAATAGCTGTAGCTCATGGCATACAGATGACAAGATTCACAAAGAGGACAATCAGGCAATGAAAACCTCCTCTTTTTCAAACATATTTAAAAGAAATTCAGCTCTTGTGAGTCTCTGCAAAGAGACGTTTGTAAGTGTTTCGCTGAAAGACTAGAATGGCTTTGTTTCTGATCCCATGATGAGTGAAAGAAATGTTTAAGAAAGATCACTTTACAGAGAGATTCAGACTGAAATGTGATGACTGTGATTCAAGCCAAGCCAAAAATTACAGCTCAGAATTAAAGGGGATGGACGTGGCTTGGGAATCCATTTTCCCACATTCCTGAATCTCAATCATCCCGGCCAATGTTTAAAAGAAAATACAGTGGAAAACAATGAGGTCACTTTGTTTAGCTGCAAGTAATGGGACGATCCGAATGGCAAAAGTATATTTTGGAGGTAGCTGCAGAATTACAGCGAACACGCTGCATGTTCAAGGGCTTCATTCAAAGCAAGTAGCTTCAAAGCTTAGTTTTGTTTGGTGTTTTTGTGAGCAAGCCTTGCTGCTTCTGAGGCTTTTAAGCCATAAACTGCTTGAATGCCAAAGACAGTGCAACACAATAGAGAAGAAGACGTAAGCCATAGCAAGCTTGATTTAGGCATTAAACAGCAGCCCTGCGTAGCGCTGAACTGTATACTAGCTTAAATTGCACTCGTTTTGTACTGTCACTACCCTTATTTATTTGTATATAAATATCTATGCAGAAATTCCACCATCAAGTGATATGAAACAGAATAAAGTATATCATCCATCATCTTCACTTGTTACTTATTCTCAGAATGTAATGCTCGTATTCAATGTTGTAATTGCTTCCATTAAACAGTTTCTACAGGGTCTGGAAAACAATAAGATCTTAGTCAAGCTTTTCTCCTTTCATTGCATCTTGAAGTTATTACTGCAAGAAAAAAATTAGATTCTTTTTTATGCAGAAATGCCCCTCATCTTCTTGAGGCTATTGCAGTCAAACATGGAATTATTTCTCGTTAGCTAATTTCCTAAAGAGATTCACCAAACCTCATGTCAGACACCTCATATAGAGTCATTTCTTAGCTTGTTAAGAACGTTTCTCCCTCCTTTCTTTCCCCCACTGCCTCTGCCTTTACTCAAAGCTGGTGCCGTGTTGGATTGCCACGAATAGTAGACAAAGGAAAATCTTGTTCGTGTTGCTTTCAGTGTGGGCTTGTCTATCTCAGTCCTGAAGCAGGGCAAGGTTGAGCTCATAAGTCTAGTACCACCAAATCTCAAGCCTAGTACCTACAGGGAGGTCACCTCTCCACCTCCTTTTTAAAATGATGAATATATTTTAAGCATTGTTATTTGCTTCAGTATCTAGCAGTGTGTTCTACCAGGGCTCTTACCTGCAGTGTCTGAAGAGGCTCAGTCGCTTTCCTGCTTCTGTTGAGTATTGCCCTCTCTGTAATTGCAGGGATCACATTAGTCCTGTTTGTTAAAGCACCAAACTGAGAGATCGTGTTAGGCTAATCAGCTAAAATAAYGCCCAAGTCCTTTGTAAGCTACACCCAGAGTTTCCACAAATATTACCCTGTGTTCTTCTGTGTGAAAACTTATTTTACTGCCCTGTGACCACTCAAGGTGGCAGTTCAGACTTTCTGTAACTTCMCCTGTCCTCATCCTTATTTAATACCATGCCGATCCTTGGGTCATCTGCTTATTTTGCCAGAAGAGAKTTTCCATTATTGTCCAGATTCCTGGTAAAGGTATTGGATGGCACTGAGCTGAGAGCTCTACTCTGGAAAATGCTGCCAGTAACGACCTTGTTAACTGATAGCTCCCATTAACTACTGCATTTTGAGGTCTGTCACTGAGCCAGTTTTTAATCCATGTAATATATGCCCTGTTAATTTCATAAAATGCAAGTGCTTTAATCAAAACGTCATGTGGTACTAAGTCAAAAGCCTCACGGAAATCCAAATATACTATTTCAACGTCGTTGCCTTTATCAACTAGACCTGTCAAAAATCCAATCCTATCAAAAAAATGCAACAAGTTTGCTTGACAAGGCCTTGATTTCCATGAAACCATTTTAGTTGGGATTAATTATATTTCTCTATGAATTATTTGTTCATAGAGTCCTGAATTAATTATTTAAGTAGACTGTCTGGGACTGAGGTCAGTCTAGCCAGGCTAAAAGTGCATCCTTCTTACTGTTTTTTAAAAATCACAGCTCTTCTGCCAGACTTTCAACCTCATCCATTATCAAGTATTTCCCAAAGCTATATTTTATTTGCTATTGAGACACACACCTATCATAATCATTGATAGGTGAAAACAGATTTTTTTCTATAATATTCTATCCTTCAGAGTGACTTCTAATCTTACCTCCTGTGTAGTTTCCCAGGTTTGTATATCCTTGATGGTGCTACTTTCTAACATGGCATTTATTTTGCGTCTCCTTCCATGGTGGTTGTCCTCTCTGGACAAGGAATKGGTTGGATCTGAGTGATACTAGCTCAGACACCCCAATGTAGGTCAGAGATGTCAGGGACACCGAAAGCCTAGCTCAGACCCTGCCACGTCCAAGTGGAGCTGGTGTCACCACGAGCTGCTGGAGCTGCATGCCACATGTCCCAGCTCGTCTCTTCAGCTCACCCAACCTTCCACATGGGTCCAGCACTGCTGTTAATGCCTCCAGGTCCTTCTTCTCTCTGCAGTGTGACTTGTTTACTTGTTCCCTTGTCTCCCCTGTCCTCTATTTCTCTGCCTCCCGTGACCTCAGATGAAACGATTGCTGTTGTGCTCCTGCAGTCACCTGGAACTCTGGGCGCTTTGTCTAACCTAATCCAGACACAGAATTTTTAATGCTTCCCTAATGCTTGAGCACTGCGTAATATTTAGAGTTTATAGCACTAGTTCCATGGGCTTTACGTATTTAACATGCTGAACTTACCCATTAATACTCCTCATGATTTTTCTTCTCCCGACTTGCAAATATTGATCTTTTTGTGAAACATGATCTTTGCAGTACGTTGTTTTGTGGTATTTATCTCATCAGACACATTATCTTGCCGTTGCTGTATTTGCTGCAGTCACACATTCCTGCTTCTTTAAATGACTTCATCCCTGCCTTTTGTGCCCTTAGTAAACTTTTAAAAAGAAATTGTTTATAAATCAGGTATTTATGGAAAGATATATATGAAAACAGGAGGAAAGAATTATAGTTTTAGGGAGAACATAGCCTGATAATGACCTCTTAAATATTTGTAAAGATAGCCCTGGGCATCTGAGCCCACAAGATAGTTTATAATACAACAGCTTGATTACATAATGATACTTTAGTTTTAAAATGTATGATCTTTCTGTTTATGGGAAGGCATAATAGACTCCTTTGAAATACAATATTTCTGCCCTGAACATAACTAATTTTAAATGAAAGGACTAACTAAAGAATGTCCTTCTTCAAGTTGTACTTCACTTTGTTGTTGAATCTGCCACGATGATTTTTGTCATAAAACTCCGACCAGGGCCTCAAGACCACACCTATTTTGGGGTAGATTCATTGCAAAAGTTTCAGGGGATTCTGTGCAGGAAGGTACCTGGTATCATTTATAATAGTTTCAGCTTCCAAACCCTTTTTTTTAAAAAAAAAAAAAATAGGGAGAGAGAGAGATTTGTCTATACACATACACACATGCAGAATTTCCTTTTATATTCAGTTTTAAGGTATTGTGAATTATAGATTAAGCCCAGGTTGAATGCAATTTGATTTAGGAGGGGGATTTGTTCTGTGCAAGAGAAAAGAATTAATGAGAGTTTTTCACACAAGGCAGTTCACACAGCATCAGAACTACCCCAAATGATGTACACTCACATCCTATGCTTTACAAGTTATGATGTATTTGGATAAATACATTACCTAAACTATTATTTTTAACTTGTTTTCAGTGTTCCTCTACACGAGCAGGTTTCAGCTCAAATTGCTGCTGGAACTGACATTAAATTGCATGCATGGTTATTTTTACATTATTAGCAGTTCGGCTGGAAGCAGGAGTGCCAGAAATGCTCTTAAATAAGTGTTGTTTGTAAGATCTTCAGTGTGGTTACACAGAGTGCCTATAATGTTCATGTTGGTTGTTCACGCATCTCAATCAAGCTGCTGCCTTTCAGCTCTCCCCTCAGGAGTACCTGTGTGATTTTTTTAACAAAAGGAGTGCTACATTGCCTGTATTTATTCAGCCAAACTGATGTACCCTTGAATAATTCCTTTTCCTAGATTTCTTATACTTTATAAAAGCTGTGGTAGAAATAATGGGTATGATGGCCAAATAATTATGGAAATAATGGTGAATTAATTATAGCTGTATTTTCTGCCTTTCTGCCTTTCTAATTGTGAGTCCATCCTATTCTTTAATTCCTTAAAAAAAAAAAAAAAAAAAAAAAAAAAAAAGGCTGGAAATTGAGATGTAAAACAAAAGATTTGTTCTGCTCTAGGGCAAAACCCAATGATTCAACGCAATGATAAACACCATTCTCAAACACAAAGCAGTCGCCAAATAGTGAGCAAACAGTCAGACTTTACTACAGTGAATATTTCTTTTTTCTCTGAAATGTTCTTTACCGCTCTACTTTAACACCAGCACCAGATAGGAAGCTCTTAAAGACTTTTGTTTCATCTTGTTCCCTAGGTATTTATAGCCCGCTGCGAAGAAACACTGACAGCAGCGCAGTGATGTTTTTCCTCTTCATAGAGGTGCCCTTAAAAGTGAATTTGCTTGGAAAATTGTTCACAGAATCAGGACATCAGAACATTAAAGACATCTCTCGCTCTCTCTCCCTCCCTTTTACACTTAATTGGCTGGCCAAAAGAAGTTGCGAACAATCCAGCTAAGATAATGTGGCCATGAAAAGGATGTCCAAATCCACCAATTTACGTTGGTTTGGTTTGGCTTAACTTTCAAAGCTTTTGGAGCAGAAAGTTGATGGCACGTGAACACTATAATTGGCTCGATATTCCTGGATCTTTTTTTCTCTCTGCCATATTGTCGAGTGTCCAAATGAAATGCTAATCAGACCTCATTTCAGGACCAAAGTAAATTTATAACAATAATAATTCACTTATATACTCCAGATCATTTTGCAAGATGCAATATCCTCCAATTTACAGCATAGTTTGTCATTTCCACTAGATCTGGATAATTTATGTAGTTTGATACCAAGGGGGTTGAGCTATTCCAAATTGATGCTATTAATGTGAGACATTGCTGTTTCCTGCAAAGTGACATGTATTGCTTTGACTTCCTTATATCCATAAAAGTTGAAACTGAGCTGAGTTAGATCCAAACAAAAGTTACATTCTCTTTGGGAGGTTTTGCTGTTGTTGTTGAATTTTTTGTTATTCCTCTTTCTGGTTTAGACATGTCGATTTATGTGATGAAATTCTTAATCCCTTACCCTAAGAGACCCACATTCCTAACCTGGGAATTACTCTTGCTCTCTTACTCTCCCCTTGCTAGGACAGAGTGAGACTCTTCCTTTTAGTATAGAATTGCATGACTTAAACATTTCGGTAATTTCCCTCTGCTCATATGTTATATGTCCCGTGCATGGATAACTTCCAAGTGTTCTTGATTACCAAACTCTTTTTAATTTCTCTTAAATAAACTTTGTCCTTATCCCTCTGTAACCAAAAGGGATGTTCCTGAAATGAATCATCACTTTCAGTATTAGATTGCAGAACACCCACAGGTGCAGGGTGGAAAATTGTCTTAGAAAGCCTATATACACAATGTGTAATACAGAACTGTCATTCTTCTTTAAAATAGATGTTTTAAATGTAAACCAAATTGGGATGTTTCTAGTTGGATAGCCATAAAATAAGAATTGTGTTTTCTGGAGAGAGAGAGAGAGAGAGAGAGAGAAAAAAAAACTTATTTGTGCTCAGTTTGCACTAAAAGGAAAATTAAGTCTTTAAAATCCTTCCAGTGAGGGACATGTCCAAACATTTTAGTCCTCTTTCTAGGGTACTAATCTGATGAGCAGTGATGAAAGTATCTTTGAAATGAGGACTTGAACCTGATTTTACTGCTTCCTAAGTTAAGTGCTTAGACAGCAGGGCTTCTGAGATGTTTTCTGACTTGTTTTCACTCTTTCTTGTACTTTCAATTTTTCTTTTTCCTCTACCCTGATTTGGAAAAAAAAAAATCCCAATAGACACATTGTCAAAACTGAAATATTTCCTGACAATTTTTAGTTTTGACAAATTAGCATTTTCCAAGAAAAAGGCTTTCTCTGAAATTGTTTGCCAAAAGCTAATTAAAACTTGTATTCCAAGTGATGAGTAGCAAAAAAAAAAAAAAAAAAAAAAAAAAAAAGACTCGGTTTGATGCAGATTCTCTTAGCTTCTTGTTTACTTTGAAGTTTTAAGAGTGAAACGAGAATTTGCAGTTTTGTGTTTTCAGCCTTTTTTGCTTGCTGCATGAGAGCTTATTCTCACTGGGAAGGAGAGCAGTTCCCACGTGCTCGGCAAGGCTGCAGCTATGCAGCTTGGCCTGGAAGTGCTATTTTAAACAGCCATATCAGCAGAGCTTGCTGTGGGAGATAATATGTCACAAAAGGGAGTATGACATCTAGTTTCACCTAGAAGATAAACCTTGAGTAGATATGCGGGGAGAAACAGGACTGTCAGGTTGTCCTTGAAAAGAATGGCCTATATTAATGGAGAAATTTACTCCAGGGCATACGCTGTTTGGGATGTATAATTTCATCTTCAAACTCATCGGATCTGCTATGAAGAATCTAGCAGAGAAGCCGTGGTTGTGTATGGTCTCACACAGGTCATGATTTCATAGTGGGCATCTCACTGCTTTATTTTCCAAGAGGTCACAGCCTCGGAAAATCATATCCGACCAACCCAGGTCTSTGGCTGAGAAGTTTTGCTCGCGATATTAATGCCAACACTGCACAGTTAAGCAGGACTAACTATCCCATATCACCTTTCTGCATAAACTCAGGATCTAATACACCGTCCTTTTCCTAACAACCCAAAATACCTTTTGAAACTGCATTCTGCTGATAGAATTACAAGATAATTATAATTAGGGGTTTTGCATTCGTTTAAGCTAATCTACTGCTTTTATTCTTCATTGCCTTAACCAGGCRGGAGGCACTTCAGTTTTTGTCAGGTGGATTATTTTTCAGTTGCTCGCTATTCCGTTCTTCTTCATCCTTGTTAGGACGTTTATGGCTTCTTGACAGACACACAAAGAAAAATACTTGTATGATCTAAAATGAAATATGTGTTTCTCTTTCAGGTCTAGATGTTGATGGAATATACAGAGTTAGCGGCAATCTGGCAACAATACAGAAGTTACGATTTGTTGTCAATCAGGGTAAGTGATTCCTCCACCCTGGTAATGTTTTGTTTAGTACTTAACTGTCTCAGATGACAGTATTTCAGAATCTGCTATGCATTAGTGGCAAAGAATGATGAGCCATGTTTTGGAAAAGAGAGGAAAGAGAAGGTAGAAATATATTGCGCAGAGGGAAATGTCAGGTTAGGAGAGAGGAAAAGCGGCGCAGGAGGCAAAGGAAAATGATAGTTCAACAGGAGATGAGAAATAAAAAATAGGAGGAAATGGATAAATGAAAGAAGGTGGCAAAAATAAAGCATAAGTAGAAATCAAAGCATCCGAATGAGGGAAAAAAATAAAAAGGAAAAAATGAAGATTGTTTTGATATTGAAAGTTAAACAAAACTAAAGGTGGAACAGGGATACAAAGCAAACTTGAGAAGGAGGAAAAAGGTGATGAAAAGAACTGAAAATGAAAAACTGAAACTGGAATATGACCTCTATCAAAGTTAATGGAAGATTTAYCACTGATTTCAATAGGGCAAAGGTTTGATTCCCAGAAATGAAACAAAAAATGATGGGAAACATGAGAAACACTGCATTACCTTAAAGAACATTTTAATTTTCCACAGATATGATTTAAACCAWTCTAACATTGGTTACTAGATACTCTGTTACAGATGTGAAAACCAATATTGATGCATCCCAAATACTTCTGAACAATTTACAACTTTTAGCACAGACTAAACATGCAGYGTCCACATTTAATATCACTGATGACACTGAACCTTGTAAACTTGCTGCATGAAAAAAAAAAGAAGCTGCTCAGRAATTAAGTAAAGTCCCAAATCTTAAATTGCATTAAGTACCTCATACAGTTTTGAATTAAATATGCATAAATACTAAGGTGCTACAAATTTTTATCCTACTATTTCTCAACTCTAAGTTATCTGGAGACTATTACCAGGACCCCTAAATAATGCATATTTGTATGTTTTTTGGAGATGCCCCAGAGAACAACTTCCTTAATTGGTTTTATACTATACCTAAACTAAGATCTATGTGTAACTGTGACCTGTGACTCAAAAACTCTTGAGATATTTGTGGTAGTACATAATMATATTCCTGCCTTCAGACCTTCGGACCTCCATTTACATTTATAATAAAAGTTTCAGGGCAGTGATATATATTCACCACTGTTTTGGCTGCCCCAGATCATTGCAATCTTTAGTTAAAACTAGGTGGATGCTGGACTCCRACTGATGAGAAATTGATATTTGTATCAATAATTTCAGTGAGACTGACTGACATCAGCCTCATAGTCTTCAGTCCTTGTTTGGATCCCTTCAGATTTATAGTTGTTGGTTGCTTGCATGTTGATAATGTCTGATTTGGCATCCAAATTGCTGTGCACTGTATTTTGTTTGAAGACAGAGAGGCAAAACTAGGATTTTCTATCCTTCACTCCCAAGGATTTTTGTTCAGGAAAAAGATGTGCCATTAAAATAATGCTCCTGTCTATCATGCCTCCCGGCATCCAAAGGTTAACGTACTTGAGGTTAACAGTACTGCTCAAGTTTTCACCTAAAACAGATGGGCTGATACTGTAAAAGCTGGACAGAAGTGTAGCTATTTTTTTTTTTTTTTTTTTTGTGTACAGAAATATAAAGCACTTTTTTTTTCTGGTTTATTCCACTGTGAAAAATGAATACATAAAGATCAAATTAATGGTACATTAAAGCCTCTCTGACGTTGTCTACTCAGGGCACATGCAAAGAATCTGACTATTGAGTGTCCAAAGGAAATTCAGAGAAAAATAACGCCTCTGGAGAACTATTTTATCTTTTTATCCATTGTTATAATTATTGTTTCTTTGTTGATACAACAGTCATGCGTTTTATATCATGAAGGAATAGATTTTCAATTGGAAGGGAAATTAGCCATTCAAACTCTTATATATCTTTAAAAATCTCAGGTATAAAAATATCTGCCCCAGCCTGTAGTTAGCGTTTGCTCAAGAATACACATGCAAAAGTGCCAAAGCTCTCCTAGAAATCCCACAATTGCAATCCTTGCAAGTGGCATGAGAAAATGAGACAGTTCAGTATTCCATCCCCAAAAGAATAATCCAGTAATTTTTTAATTAGAACATTCAAGAAGTAACACAGCCACAAAGAATGGCTTTAAAATATCAGGCCACAATTTCACTTGTTGCAATAACATCCTTTCTTTGTGCAAGGTAGGAAGTTGCGGGCTGGGAACACTCGGTCCATGGAGTCAGTGTGGCTGTATGGAGATATATATAGATATATATATATATATGATATATGTGTGTGTGTGTGTGTGTGTGTGTGTTAGCATCCTGCCTAATATTACCCTGGCTTCCAAGCTGCTGAGAGGAAGTTTTATACCTCGTTCATAGTCCTTACTGATGGACTAACTAAATGGACTTTGGAAAAGCTTGATCTGGAGGTTACCTGGGAGGCCCATCAGGCAACAATGGTGAAGTTACAGGGGCAAGACGTTAGTCAAAGCCACCAGAGTGAGGGGATCTCATCAGCTTTCCTCCAAGGGATGCGCTGTGTCTCCGGAGCTCTGCTTGCTCAGAGTCCAGCTCCCACCTTCCCAAAAAGCTACCGTGGGGAGGTGGTGGGAAYTGAACAACTAATTTCACTTGGAAGGGCATTAGAAGCCTGCATGAGGTGTCCCCATCAATGAGGGGGCTGAGGAGGACCCCATCGATGAGGACGACCTGAAGGATGGGGAGAATGTGTTATGTTTATTATGCATATTCACAGAAGTTAGCAGGATAATATGGAACCTGCTCATAATCTCCTCACTTGCCAGTCTTCTAAGTTCTCCAATGGGAAGATGGTTAATAATGCCATTACTGCCTATCACTTTTTTACTTGGTAATTATCCCCAGTAATTATTTCTTGGCTCAGTCTCGGCCCTTGCATTCTTCCGCAGTTTGCACTGGAAAGGCAGTACTTTTACATATGATTTTTTGGTTATCATTCCAGGATAGAATTTTTATTTTAGTGCAAGTTTAATTATGAATGCAAGCAAATGTTCTAAAACAGCCTATTTACTTTGTAGAGCTTGACTGCACGATCAGTTCTTAAACAAGTGAAATACCTAGGAAGCTGTTTCTTTCAGCTCCTGTGTTATACCTACATTTATGGGGCATAAATAATATTTATAGCATTGAAAATGAAACATCATAGAATAGATTCTGCTCTATCCAAAGATTTGTATTAGGATAATCTGAGAGCAAAGCTGCATTTGCCTCCTCTTTTTTTTTTTTGTACTGTTTCCATCTTCACCAGCATTAAAAATGGAATAAGAGAAAACCAAGGAAAAAAAAAAAAAAGAAGACAAATTAGCAAATGACAGCTTTGTCGTTACAGAAGTCTGAAGAAACAGCAAAAAAAAAAAATCGAAAGACAACTTTCAAATTTTAAACGGGGGGGTTGCTATAAAAATCATTTCTCATATCTGTACCATTTTTTACATTCTCAGATTCTACTTTGTGCTTCATTATCATTTCTCAAGGTAGGCAGCTCCTAAAGAGGGCTTTGACCTTGCCACAAGAGCAACATCAGTACAAACTACCTTATTTACTTTTATCCCTTTCACAGAGTTTTATTTTTCTATAAATGTCTATTGATACCACACCTTTTTAGTTCTCTGCAACAGGATTATCTTTTATCTATGATTTATTTTCCCATTAAGAGCAGAAAAGATCACTTGATCTTGAGATGGCCAGGCTATAACATCTCTCAGCACTTTCAAAACTCTAAGTCATCATTTTTCAAACCACTGAATCAAGGCAGGAGAAGCAGTTGGGACCACTATTGACATCAAGACATTCRTACTTTTCTTACTGTATGAGTGCTAAAAGAATAGTGTTTGCAGAAATTAAATTAGTAGTAGTTTATTATTTCTATGTATGAACCTATGTTAAAGGCTTCTCTAATACTTAGAGACCTTAGAGAGGTTTGTTCCTCTTATACTTTTCATGTTATTGGTCTGGCAACTGCAATTTAAAATATATATTTTAAAAGGAGTCTTTTTTTGGTGCTACTTGGAAATTTGGGGGAGTTTTAAGCAGCTGAAGACTTCACCTCACTTTTTTTTTTTTTTTTTCTTTTTAATTATTCCTTTAATTCACACCTGTAAGAGATGGGGTGAGATACTACAAATAGGTTAATTAAGTCATGTAAAATGTGATGTTTTGAGATTATAAGAGAGATGTCTGCAGGAGCAGGTCTTTTGATGCCAAGGCTGAGCTCCAGGGGGTTCTTGGCCTATGGGCAGGATATGGTGCAGACCCAGGTAGGCCATTAATGCCATTAGAGCCCTGATAGCAGCATCTCTTGCAGCTGAGGAGGTGGTTGTGATGTGGAGCAAAGCACGGTGAGTGCTTTGGGTGTGTGTTCCTGGGTTGAGCAAATATAACCATGGAGGTGCAAAAATGCCCAGGGGGAGAAGGAAAATAACTTGAGGGTTCTTCAAGCTTCAGGTTCTTGGTATGGGGAAAGTGTGAGCTCCTGCCGTGGTCCTTGTACGGAGACTAGAGACACAAGAGTGAAGAGGTGGTAGCTGGTTTCTTCATGCCTCCTACGCTAATCTCCTGAGTAGCTGGCAAGGCTTTCATTTTCTACGACTGTCAAACAAGCAATTTTCATGAGTACTAAATTAACTGAAAAAAATAGAGCTATAAAGGGTTCATAATACATTGCTGAAGCACTAGAGTCCTGTCCTAATGCATATATGTTCAGGGAAACTAACCATAGAAATACAAATTTCAATACTTACTGGTTCATTCAGCAAGTGGTGGTTCATACATAATACAGGAGAGTTCCTAATTGTCTTTATATCCAGTGCTCTGTTTGCAAAATGCTTGGTATTTGCAGAACAGATGACCTTTGGATCCTGTTATTTCAGTTGGAATACCTTGTGTGTTAACTGCAAAACACAGCATACCATCCAAAGGTCAATTACTGTTACTATACTTATGTATCACTGGAGAGGAGGGGGGGGGAAAAAAAAAAAAGAAAAAGTGAGAAGAAATAGATTTTTTTTCAGAGGCTAAATACTGTGTTATTGCAGAAAGGTTTTTACATGTTTTTATGGCTTATGTAARAGGACAGACGAAGGAATTTGAATTGGGAAACTACCTTGGGGATGAAAAGGTACAATTACTCTTACCCTGACATCATCTCAGGTTAACAAATAATATTTTTAAAATAGTTCCATGTAACAATATCTTCAACCATAGTTCATTAAAAAAAAAACTAAAAGTAAACCACAAATATGTGAACTGATTGCGAGTATTTATTAACTAAATAATTTAATAATAAAGAAAATGCCTATGTGATTAATTGTTACAGAGTAAAAATTACAATAAAACTGTCTTGATCAGTGCTTTGCAGAAGCACCATTACTGTCTGTGCAGTTGTTTAACAAGGATTTAATTGGAAAGATAAGTGAATGCACATTTAAAAGTATTGTTAATTTGCTTTATAATCACCCCATCCTTCACAGTATTGACAGCACCAGGCACAAACCCCTTTCTCTTTTACAAGTATTATTTTCCATATGTGCACAATAAATTCTGAAGCAGTAATTGGAAATTTTATGGATTTCAGCATACCTAGTGGTTTGAGTTTATAGGTGCTATATCCCCTCTCTAAAGGTAGCTCCTAGGTGGCATTGTAAGTAAAATCATTGCCTTTTTATTACTCATGGGATTTTTTTTCCATAAGGAGTATCTAACTCCTATTTACTTTTCCTTTCCATTTCAAATATTTGCAAAATCCTTAGTGCAACATTATTTTTGATTTAATAAACAGTGGACTTCAAAACCGATGATCTTCAATGTGTTTATATTCCATCTGYACATATATTTATTGTTCTAAAATGGCTTGGATTAATTTTGCTGACAAGCAAGAGTCTTGGACCATATGAGCAGCTAAGGATGATACCTTTAGCCAGCGGGAGTCTTCAGCCCTACTCACAGTTCCTTATCAATGAACTATGAGGAAAAATAAGAACATAATCTTGGATTTAAAAAAAAAAATAGTGATTATATGAGCTTGCGGGGACCATATGTCTGTGCCTTGCTTATAGGGAAATTAGAGKTTTTTTCTGGCTGGGAAGTGCCTGGGAACCAACAGAAGATGGAGGTTCCCTTTGAAGCTTGGCCACCAGGTCAGCGCAAATGGGCTGGGTGGTTTGCAAGCAACCATTTAGGTGAGGGGAAAAAGAGGAGAAGCAGACACTTTCCACGGCCTTATTTCTTTAAAATAAGAAGGGGAAAAAAAAAATCCCCATTCAACAATCCCCGACTGTTTCCAGTGACCCAACATATCCATTTCAAAGGCAGCCAGCAGCTTTGGTCCTCAGCTGTGAACAAAGGCACTGCGGGCAGAGCGGGTCCTCCACGAGCTGCCGGCTTCCCGAGAGCAGCTACGGGCTGCAACGGCCTACAGGAGCAGCACGTGGATTGATGTAAAATTGTAGTGAGGATCAATGGAGCGGGAGGTGAGGGGAAAAAAAAGGATGTTATAAACTTATTCTCTTCCAGTCATTTCCCTTTTTATTTATGAGTTCTCCCTTCTGCCTCTGCCTTAGTGATATTTCCCATTTTATCCAGTCTTTTTGTGCATTTCTGGAAGACTTAGGAGGTTATTGATTGCATTTTTCAAACGTGAGTGAATGTCTCCAGGTTAGGATGTAGCCTTCAAGCCCAGTCTCAGGCCTTCCTGAGCTTCTCCATTGGCCAGTCTGTGTGATTAAATGTGGCCCAGACAGGGCAAACTGTCCTCACTTCTGCCACCGCGTGTTCATGCAACTAGTCTTAGTGTGAAGCCAGAAAGAGCGGTCCAAAGTTCACCTTGGAAATATCAGGATCAAGCTGGGTTAGTTGTTAGTTGAGAGCTGAAATGTCTCTAATGTCTTGAGTCAAAAATAGTTTTTTTGTTCTTTTTCACACTTASCACGCAAGCCTAGAAGATTAAATGGACTTGAGCAATTTTCAGGAATAATTATAGAACTGTGTCTTCCTGGGTTAAGACCTGCATATGCTAAGTTATGGCCAAAAAACTTTTTTTTTTTATTTTTTTTTTTTTCTGTTCCTTCTTTTGCTGAGCTATAAATTCTGGCAACAGAATATTGTAATAGGGCACACAGTAGTTGCTGTATCAATTAATATGCACATGTTACTGATGCAGGTTCTTCCCTTTTTGTGTTTGAATATCTTCAGAAGATGTGCTTTCATATCTCATTCTCTTCAAGTAAAAAAYAAACAAACAAAAGTAGTAGCAGAAACATTGGTTTTGTAAATTAAAATATCTGTAACAAATTTTTTTTTTGTGAATATGGTGCATCATATACTAAAGAGGATAGTAGAGTCATAATAGGTGTCATTTCTCCTAGCAGTAGTACTGTTGTGTACTTTCTTTTCAACAATTTGATGGATAAGCCAGTAGAATGGGGAAGTGGGGAAGAAGAGGCAGTAAACYAGGTTAGTGTGGTCAGCCACAGTCATACCATGAATTTTATGGCACGTATTGTATGATGAAGCATTTAAGGCAGGCCTTTTATTTCTTCTCTGCAGAATATTTGCGTTACAATGCCTTTTTGCTTAGTAACACTTCAAGAAGTTGAAAAACTTCTTGATAACCCCTGAAGAGGTGTGATTTAGCAGCTGAGAAGGACTGGAGTTTGGAAGAGCGTAGCAAGGGATTGCCTGTTTTCAGGATGCTCGTAGTTGTCATGGGTGACTTTTTGTTTGGGTTTGTTGTTCTGATAGTAACGCTACAGGAAATGCCATTACTAAGAGTCCTCAAATAACAGGGGAAAGAAATGATGTATTGAGTCATTTGTTCAAATTAATAACAGGAGAATTTTTCTAATTGTAAAATTTTTAGGAYGATGGAATAATCTCCAGGAGTTGAGGGTTGCCAGACATATTTATATGTAAACTGAACCAATTGTCATAAGTATTATGAATATGATCCCATACTGGAGAGTGATGGATTCTCCAGATAAGGAGCTGTGTAGTTCCCAATAAGAGTTCCTCATGCTCAATATCTTACAAGATCATAGTATGGCCTARTATATTGGGTATTTTTCTCCCCTGTGGTTAATATCTGTAATTTTGTGGTGTATGTATGTGTAATGTTAGCCAAGAAATACAAACTAGCAATTGGGGTCTGCATCCAAAAAGGGCAAGGTTGTGTGTGGATGTGTGTTAGGTGATGTTATGCTGGATACCATTAGGCAAGCAGTTTCCTCAGCGTGGAATGAGACTTTATCATGGTATTTGTGGTATTCAGTAGACTGAAAATGGGGAAAACCATAATAGTGTGGTGGTTAAACTGCTGTGAGTAGTAAGTGGTTTTGGTTGGGGGAGGATTTTTGGTGAAGTGTTTCTGCTGGATTTGTCTTGTTGCTTTAGAGAGAGATAAGAGTACGGACAGCAACACTGGGGGCCAGTCTGGGAAACTGAAGTGTAGAGCACCTCTTACTATGCTCCTTGGAAAATTTTGCTTTTATGAGAAGCCATGTGTGTGCTTTTCCTGGTTGTCTAATTAGTGGATATGGTCTATCTTAGAACTGTATTCCTGCTGAGAATAAATGAGCTTCCTAAAGAAATCTCCAAATCACTCATTTCATCATTTTATCTTGATTTTAAAATTGAACATTCCTGTCTTTATAAAGGAAAAAAAAAAATCCCAGTGGAATTTTCACATGACCTTAGTCATGCTCCTGGAAAGCCTCTTCTCTTAATGAATTCTTTGGGCATTCTGGACTTGATTCAGTTCCTTAGTCATTGCCATCTAATAGTCTTTTAGGGGATCTTGTATATCGGAGTAATCCTCACAGAGACTGGAGAGATGTTAGAGGACATATAGGAGACTTGTGCTCTTGGAACCTGGTTTCTAGAAGCTGGGCAAGATGCCTTCACGCACTTAAAAAGCATTAGATGCTTATATACAGGCAAATGAATRAAGTCTTATTGAGTGCACTATTGCCTCTTATCCCCAAAACATACAAAAAAAATCAAAACAAAACAAAAAAAATCTGTGTGCATACATTTACAATGTATATTGTAAATATATATATATTCAGTGTGCAAAGCAAGTATCAAAAAAAGSTTTGAGAAATTCTGATATGGAAAATTATGTACTCTGCTCTCCCATGCTTATATGTGTTATATATGTATATGCCATTTTTTCTCTTTCTCTCCAAATTTAATTTTCAGTTTAGACCTATTATTAACAGAATTATTAAGTATGTCAATCAAAACACTTTAAAAGGTAATCACACTGTATTTTAATTTCAAAGTTTATTCAGAGTCTTGAAAGTGAGAACATGGCATAGCTCTCACTTGGGTTTTCAGCTCTCATCTGAATGTTAACACTGTTCAGGCTGTAGCGTTGCCTGTTGTCAGCAGAAGTAACAAGGACCGTTCAGATCTCTTGAGATCAAAGGTCCTGCTTCCCAACTCTGCTGTGATAATTGGAGCCTAAATCAAAATCCTTCACGTGGACAACACATCAGAGGTGCGTATGACACTTCTGGAAATCAACCTGGAAATCTGTGCTCCTAATTTCAATGCATTGTTATTTTGTTTATATAACATAATCATATAAAATATTTTAACAGTTAAGATGCTCAAAATTAAGTAGAATAAATACTACTTTTCTATTCTTCTCTGTTCTTGCCTTCTCTACCTTGTGAAGAGTGGTCAGAATGCAGCTAAATTTGCTGGCCTATAATCTTTGTTTCCCAGCTGCACATTCCTTGCTTCTCTCCTGCCAGCTGATATCATGGGGGAGATTTGGCTCGCCCATGAGTTGCCCCCAGGCAGATGCTGGG